GGGTTTCTCCATTGCATACTGGATAAAACCCAAATTCCTTGTATCAATCCATAGAGCTCCACGTGGAATGGTCTAGTCTCTCCTTACTCCTCATTCCTGTTCTGGAAACCTTGGTCTCTTTCCAGTTGCTGAAGAGAGAAGTCTTAAATGTGCCCTTCTTCATGTATGGCAATTTGTAATTACACTGGGTATGTACCTGTCAATTTACTTGGCTAACAGATGTCTTACCCACTGGCAGTAACCTCCAGGACCAGAGAGAGTGTATCCTGAATATCTAGCACCTAGCATGTGACCTGACACATCATAGGCACTCCACAAATACTGATCAAATGAATATGTGAACGAATGAATAGGAGGCTGGCACAGATATTAGATGTCCCTTTGTGCCAGGAGCTTCTGTCTGGTAAATAAGCGGGAGTATAGGCTCCTCTGGGAGCCGCTCTGAACTCATCACTTTAGCCACAAAACTGCATTCCTGGTGCCAGCTGTGGCTAGAGATGTTAGGTCTGATGCTTGAACTGTTAGACTTTCTTTGGGGCTCGATTAAGATGGCATGGGATGCCTTATCCCAGGAGCAGGTACAATCCACAGAGCCAGGGATGTCTGTCAGGGATAGCTTAAAAGGCTAGCATTCCAGTGTTGTAGGTTGATCCCAAGTCCAGCTGAGGTCATTTGTGGTCCCTCAGCACAGAGGGGAAGAGATGGAGCCTGGAGCTGAGTCTTGAGCAGCAAATCCAAAAACAATGTCTGAGACAACTCAGTTGTCAAAGGAGGAGGAAGAGGCAGTATACAGGCAGATACACAGATAGACAAGTCTCAGTTCTAGCCTCAAAGGGGGCAACCAGTCTGATGCTGAGACAACTGTTGTCTCCTGGCTATATTCATTAATATTTTTGAGTGTGGGTAGAAAAATAAGGGAAAGATTTCCCCTTTTATCTAGTGTGGCACACATGTAGCAGTGAGAGGACAACCTATAGGAGTTGGTTCTCTCTCTCCACCATGTGGGTCCTGAGGCTCAAACTCAGGTCATCCAGCTGGTACCTCTACTTGCTGAGCCATATCACAGGCTATTACTAAAGGAGGTGGCATCTAAATCACATTGAGGTGGGAGGAATTTTGGATAGGCAGTAGGAAAAGGCAAGCAGACAGAGGAACTACATGATTAAGTATGGAAAGTGGTGCAACTCACTGTCAGTGCTGGGAATCTGGAGCAGCACACAGTGGGAACCAGCAGTACAGGGAACATTTTGATAAGCAGAGTCGCTGAGAAGTATGAACTTTGCAAGTTGGGGGGAACCATCTGAAGTGTTTTGGCAGGGCATGGAAGGATGCTCAAGGCTAACCCATTGCAGACTGTTCTGGTACCCTGAGGAGGCTGTGCTTGCAGAAGGGACTCTGAGGAGCAGATCTCATGATGAACACTCAATTTGAGTGTGCAACAGATTGGTCCTGGATGCAGAAGAGGCATGGTCAAAGGTAACTCCTCGGTGTTTTGGGAGGGGAGGTAAATATGTTGTTGATCAGTTCAGGACTGAATTGGGGTTTGAGATCGTGAAGGAGAGGCTCAGTCTACATATGGAAGTAGCTGAGATGCTCAAGTGAGATAATGAATTTGGGAGCCCAGCACATGATGGAGGCCCAATGCTTAGGGAACCAGAGCTTAGGTGGTATGTCTTTTCCCAGCCTACTTCCTCAGTCTCAACTCAAACTGCACTCAACATGCCCTCTGCCATTCAAGCCTTTTTCTACAGGGAACATTCTAAATTCCCTCTGAGGGGGTGGAGAAACAGGAGGGCTGGGAATACTGATGAGGTAACAGAACTGCAAGTGTCCACTGTCTATTAATCTTTGTGGAAAAGCCAGATGGGATGATAATTTGACAGGAAAGGCAGGACCACACGTAGGCCTGATGGGAGCAGAGTAAGCAGGTTGGTACTGAGAGGAAAGGGAGAGCAAGGGAAGAGAAAGTAAGCAAGGGAAGAGACTGAGAGGGAGAGACCAGATTTAGGGGAGCCAGCTGAAGGGCTCAGGAGACAAAATGAAGCCTGGGGCTCAAGGCTGGTTTGAAAGAGCAAAGAAAAAATTTCTCTGACACAAGATGGAAGGACTGATGGTATGAGAGCTTAATTCTTGTTTCAGGATTTAAAAAACAAGACTCCCTGAAGGGTCACACCATCTTATCAGTAATTTACACCTCAACAAAAGTAATTTCTCATACTATTTCTGACAGCAGGCCTGTGTAGGGGAGAGGGTGGAGCCCAATCCTTATGAGGGGACACTCCAAAATGCAGGGCTTTCAAACCAGCCAATCCGAGAAGCTAGAGGCTCCATCCCCCAGGAAAGGGGGTCTCCTCCCTCAGACAGAGACCCCTGTCTCTGACCAGCGTGTGAAGAACCCAGATCTAGGTCTTCTGTGGTAGGTTGGTGGGGGTGCTGCACAGTGCTGGGTTTCTGCAACAAGACTCGGCCTGCAGCACCCCACCCCCATTGGGAGGGCTCTTAAAAGGGCAATGTCAGAGGCGGAGCATTCAGCCCAGTCAGTGGCCCAGTGTAGGTGGGAGTGGCAAGGATGTACCCCTTTTGCACCTATCTGGGAGGGGCTACTGGGGAACCCCATGCAGGGTGGTGATTGGGGTTGTGGAGCAGGCCCCTCATCCTGGCACAGGCTCTGACATGCAGCACATTTCTCTGGGGCCCATCCCAACCTGTCAGACTTAGGCTGGGAGCGCAGCCAGGGCCGCCCTAGGCCCCCCATGGGAGGTATGGGGGTTGGGAGAGGTAGTCTCTGGATCTAGGGTAAGCCGGAAAAGCTTCAGGAAAGAAAAAAACAGGACAGGTTGCAGGGAATCTGTTCCCAGGAGTAAGATTTCTATCCCACAGAATGCTCGGCTGAGTAGCTGCTCTATTCATAGAATGGGCTCAGGCTAGCACCTCTTGAACCCAACTTGACACCTGTAGGGCCCTCAGAATCCTCAGAAAGCCTAGCTTCTAGTTGACTCTCTGGTGGTTAAGACAAACATCAAGTCCGAGCTGCTCCCTTGAAGCATCTGGACTTGCATTTTGGGCCCTGAATTCCTGGGTGTGGGAACCAAATGCTAGTAAGAGACCCAGGGCTCTGACTCACTCCACAGGGCCTCTGGGGGTTGTTTGCTGAGGTAACCTGGGTAGCTGAGGTTGGAGATGGGGCAGTCAAGGTGCCAGGGATGAGGGCATCAGCCGTGGGCTGCAGAGGCAACTACTAGGGTGGAGTCAAGACTATTTGGGTCCCTTCCCAAGTGCTCAGCTTCCAGGTGGGTCAGCCCAACCTAAACAAGGCTTGCATCATCCCAAGCCACTGCTCCAGGGAGAGGGAGTCTGGTTCACTTTGGAGGAAGCTGAGCCACACCTTTCCAATAGACTGTGAGTTCTTTGAGACTAGACACTGTGTCCCATTCTCTCTTCAAGTTCTGCTCCCAGAGGGCCTGGCACCAGGTTCACAGTGTATGCCACCTGCCAAAGGGTTCTTGTATGTGACCTGTGGGGAGGAACTCTGCCAGCCATCCTAGTCTTCACTATTTGACTCTGGCTTCAGACAGCACGGTGCAAACAATCTGCTAACAGACCACCTAGTCCACACAGCACTCCCCGCCAGCCAGCCTCCTGGGCAGTTGGCTCACACAGAAGCCTTAACAAGAAGCGTAACTGCTCATGGTGTCTAGGGTCCAAGTGTAGCCAGCTCCAGAAAACTAGCAAGGTTAATAGAAAGTCAGATCATGTAGGAAAATACAAGAATTGGCCTGGGGAGCCCAGAATCCCCGTTTTTATGCTGCCAGAACTTTTAAGGGGGCAGACAGCTGTGGATAGCTGTGGAGCCGTAGGTCAAGCCCAAGATAGGCATGGGGGTGTCCAGAGTCACCTGAAGTTTCCTAGTATACTCCTAAGTGGGTCAAAACCAGCCTCTTGCTCACTGTTCAAGTTCTCTTTCTTCAGACCAAATGTTGAGACTATGGGAATGTGAAGTTTTGGTCCCGAATTACAAATAGGAGCAGCCTGCTCTTTTGACCTCTTGTCCTGGCTTTGTTTCTCCGGGGCCAAGGGCAATGGGACATGGAACCTGCCTGGGGGCCTCCAGCTGGCACAGCAGGCAAGATAGTCAATGTGGTCACCCTTGCAGGCACCCAGTGTTGACAAGGTTTCCAGAAACAAGATTAATAGGATCAGCACCCCCAGTAGAAAACAGAGCTAATGGCCTCGGCAGGGCTGAAGGTTCCTAAGTGTCAGACCAGTTCACACTCCAGTTCTCAACCTCCCTAAAAAACAGACTCAAAGCCCAGCTGTGCCAGGCCACCACCTGGCCAAGCTCTCATTCCCCCTGTCTGGAACAGGTATAATCATGTCCCCACCCTACCTTCTGGGACCATACAAAGATAAAAGGGAGCATCTAGAGGAAGCACTTTAACCTGCTAGAAGGCAAGCGCCAGACTGACCTAAGGTGTCATTAGAGTGGAGGGTGCAGATCACAGATGAAAGCAACCTGGTGAAGAAAGCCTGAAACACCACCTTGCTCCAGTTGCAGGTGCCCAGCTATTAGGGCACCACCAGTGGGAGCTCCTGAGAACAAACATTCTTCCTGTACCCCACCACCCTGACATCTTTCTGGAGCCTTTAGCAGTAAGTACAGCAGGTGCAGTGAGTCGCCCCACATGGGGACATGAGAAGGAACAGCAGTAAAGACAGAAGTTGCCATTAATAAGCCGTAGCTCATGCTTTTGAACCTAGATGATCTTTTGGATTGTCAGCTACCATGTCCAGCCTTCTTCCAAGGAGCCCTGCCTAGGAACATAGTATTAGCAGGCTTTTCCATAATATTGGTCTCTAAGCTTCACTGCCTTTAAGCAGGAGTTGAGTTTACAGAGTATCCTGTCCTGTGTCCTTAAAGCGTGTCAAAACTTCAGGTTTTCTAAAAAGCCTTTACTAAATACACTTTGCCTTCACTTACTGGAGAATCAGCAGAAACAGGATTCAAGACTGGGAAGAAGACTCAGGAAATCTTGCACCTCCCCAGAGCTGCTTTATTGCATGGCTTTACCAGTCATCAGTGAGGAGGCCCTAGACCCATGCAAGGAGATGGGGAACACCTGCACTCTGCATGGCAGATGGGTCCCTTGCAGCTGTGCAGTCAGATGGGGCAGGGTGAGGAGTGGTGCTCGGCCTCCCTGCTCCAGGGCAGGCCCTGAGATCCCAGCTGATACAGCCTGGCAAACCAGGAGGAGGCAGCGTTCAGGCATCAGTGACCTCCATGTTCTGCAGCTGGTTCTCCAGTGTGACCTCTTTTGCCGCTTTCTTTTTGCTGCCCTCATGTTGTTTCTTCTGCTTTTTGGATGGCTCCTGGTCAATGGGTGCAGGCTTCACAAAAGGGATCAGTTCCTGGAGGCCTGGGAGGGAAGAATCAACCAAATGACCTGTCATTTCTCAGTTAAAGCCCAAGGACCGGGAAGAATGGAAGACAATGATCCCTTTCAACAATGGGGTACTCACAAGAGGGATGTGTTTCTCTATTTTCTTCCTCAGTTTGGCTTTTACAATTTTAGTATCATACCCACAGTGGCTACTTTCTCAGCTGGGCAGGCAGAGTTTGGGGGAACCTCACTTGGGGGAATTTCAAGTTTCTGTCCTGGTTTCCCTCAATGATGAACTGCGATTGGGACATGGAAACCAAATAAATCCTTTCCTCAAGTTGGTTTTGGTCAGTCTTTTATGACAGCAATAGAAAGCTAACTAGAATAGGGACTGTGTTCCACATGAACGTGGTACACCTGCCAAGAGCCCGCTATTTAGAAGAGTATGGAGACGGGTGAAAGAGGAGCTGAACCTGGGGGCATGAACTCCTTCAACTTCTCAGGCACAATGATGCCCGTCTCTGTCTGGTAGTTCTCTAGGATGGCACAGATGGTCCGGGTGGTGGCGCACATTGTGGCGTTAAGCATGTGGACAAACTCCACCTGGGAAGAGAGGGTCAGAGAGGGAAAGTTAAATTTGGCCCCCAGCTGGTCTTATTGATGACCGGGAACCATTCACTTAGCCAGAACTCCCAATCCAAAGGATGTCTTCTACCCATCTTTAACTTTGTAAAACTTCAATTGTTTGGTATTTATTGCCTGAGATAACTCTAGGAAGACTTCTCATGTTTGCATGCGTGACAAGTGGTTCAACCCAGTATTTTCTTAATTTTTTGAGATACAGTCTTACTATGTAGCCCTGGCTGGCCTGGGACTCAGAGATCCACCTGCCTCTGCTGGAACTAACAGTGTTGCCAACATGCCTAGCCAGGTTCTGGTATTTTGAGGGGAGCTGTTGGGAAAGAAGAAAGCACCACTGTAGGCCCTCTTCTAAGTCATGCCAAACCCAACGTGGAAGAGATCAGGGTCTAAAGACTGGGTTTAAGAGATGAGCTTACAACCCGGCCTTCGGTGAAAAGAGGGAAGACACTGCCTTCAACTCTGGAGTTCAGGAAAACAAAGCCAAAGAGAGAAAAGCTTGAATTACCTTGTAGAATAGACCCAGACTCAGGTTTCTATCTAAAAGAACCCAGTCCTGATCTGGTAGAAGTCATTTCCATGTTTTTTTTTGAGTCTAGACTGAGCTATGATGCTCCATGGTGCTGGCAACTGATGTGCTCCCAGGGAGGAGACAGGAAACGTGCCCTGTGCAGAAGCCCTGCTGCCTGCCTCTCCCTGGGAGCCGTCTACCTTGTCCATCATCTTCTTGGTCTGCCCATATCGGATTCGGAGCCGTCGTGCCTGGTAATCTGTGCAATTAGAGCAGGAGACCAACTCACGGAAGGCGCCTGAGCCTGGAAACCAGGCCTCCAGATCGAGCTTTTTACTGGCGGCATGATTCAAAGAGCCTGTAAGGAAAACCCCCTTAGAATTCAGCAAGGAGGGATAGGATTTCAGAAGGCTGATGAGCCTGAAGAATCCTCCACTTTACGCCCTATCTCCAGAAGTGAAATCACATTCCAATCTCATCACCAAACACTCCCAAAGGAGAAAAGTGTGATATCTTAATCAATATGGGCAAGGAGTGGGACTGAGTGCTCGCTCTTTGTGCAGAGGCTCAGCTGGGGAAAGTGATCTGTGGGACACAGGAAGAGATGAGGGTTTCATACCTGAGACAATATTCACAATGTGGTAAGGGATCCCCAAAGACTGGTAGAACTCTTCTGCAGTGGTGATCATCTCTTCAAACATCTCCCATGACTTGTTGTCATGGGGCGATGAATACACGAACTGTTCAATCTACAGAGAGAGACCCAAGGAGACAGGGACAGCAGTGAGGACTGAATAAACTGAAGGCCTGAAGTGGAGACATTCTAGCAATGATCGAGTCTCACAGCCAAGCTGCATCCTCAGAGAGGGGGACCAATGCTGAACTAGACTGGACTGTAACAGTCAGGACAATGGATTCTATCTGGAACCATCAGCAGGTGCCAGCTACTAAGTGCCTAAAACATATTCACTGGTTCAATGCTCACAGTCAGCTTAGGGAGGAGGATATCCTCACCATTCCATCTTTTTACAAAAGTTACACTGTTGGTAAGTGGTAGAGTTGGCATAGGGATTCAGCCTGGTTCTAGTAATGCTCAAAGTCACTCCATGTATCCCCTAGACTCTGCTCCATAAAGATTTCAGCAATGAGCAGAAAAGCTAGGGCTAGTGGAACTCTGAGAACACAAACCTTGTCTCTCCTATGTACATCTGGACAGGTAAATAGGAGAAATCTACTCCCTACTCTGATCGCCTCACCTTTTCAAACTGATGGACTCGAAAGATGCCACGGGTATCACGGCCATGGGAGCCCACCTCCTGACGGAAGCAGGTGGACAGGCCTGCATACTTGATGGGCAGGTCCTCAGGCCGGAGCCACTCGTCCCGGTGCAGAGCAGCAATGGGCTGCTCAGAGGTGGCAATTAGGTATTTCTCGTCATAGGAGTTGTCGTCAGACTTTTCACTGCCTTTGCCAATCACCTGTAGGAAGAAGGACGTAAGCTAGTGAAGACTGTAAGAGACCACAGGAAAGATACAGTGATGGGCCACAAAGGATTTCCTTCAATCCCTGCCTGGCAGTGGGGAAGGAATGCTAAGGCAAGGGAGGCAATCATCTGTTCAAATAGGAGAGCCTACTAAAGCTCAAAGCAATGCATGGTGCATGCCTACAATTCTAGCACACCAGAGGCAATTCAGGCCAGCCTGGGCTATACAGTGAGACCCTGACTCAAAACAAAAATAACAGTCATAAAAAACAATCAAACAAAACCCACCCAAAAACCAAACAAAAAACACCCATAAGAACAAAGAAATGAAAATTAAGAGTTTAACAACAACATGCATAAATAATAGTAAAAGGTAGGATGCTGGCAGATGTGCAACAAACCTATGCTAGTGGATATATAAATTAATCCACTCAACAAATGTTTGTGCTAAGTCCTTTTGCAATGTGCAAAATGCAACAGTCTGCTTTCCTTGCTTAGTTATTCTAGCTGGAATGATCCTTGTAGAATGTACTTGGGTGTTTGGCTGAAGAAAAGGATGTGGGAAGGAGAGCTACACAGGCTAGGGGTGCAGCGCAAAAGTGGAGTGTTTGTCTAGCAAGCATGAGGACTTGAGTTTAATCTCTAGCACCACAAAAACAACTCAGATGAGCCTAATTGGACTTGCCATTAAGAAATGCCCCCACTTCTGTCAGAAGAATCTGGAAGGGGAGGGACAAGTAGATGATCTTGGTGGACAAGTCTTAGCAGAGATAGTCTAGAAATTCTGTGTGCTGGGCAGACTGTGGCTATACTTGGTGTCAGAGCTAATTAGAAGGACACTCTGCAGTTCAATTTGAATCCTCTGGTTCTCCCTTAGATGTTCCAAGTCTGAGCAGAAGCCATGAACTAGAAGGTACCCTGGTCCCCAGACAAGTAGTCTTTTCCTATGGAAGCTTCTAATCTAGAGTGAGGGGTGAAAAGAATGGGGCAAGGAATTTCCTTTTGTCTAAGCATCCGATAAAATGGTTCTTTTCTAAGTCCCTGGTGATAAATACATTTAAATACATTACATAGATTTCCAGGGGGAAGATGAAAGACATTGGTTTCTACACTGTCTGATGTGGTCGGTGCCAGCCACATGTGGTTTACATTAAAATTAACCGACACTAAAAACCTGTTGGGCTAGTGAGATGGCTCAGTGGATAAAGGCACTGCTATCAAGCCTGATGACCTGAGTTCAATCCCTGGAACCTACATGGTGGAAGGAGATATTCCTTTGACCTCCAAGCCATGGCATAACCCATGCCCCCAAACAAATAAGTATAAAATAAAATAAAATCAACCTTGCAAACAGCCAGGTGTGGTGGTATACACTTATAAATCTAGCACTCAGGAGGCAGAGGAAGAGGATGATAAATGAATTTGAGGCCAGCCAGGGCTATATACAGCAAGACTGTGTCTCACAGAAACAAAAAACCTTGCAAGCAGGACATTGTGGCACAAGCCTGTAACTCCAGTACTCAAGAGGCTGAGGCAAGGGGACTGCTGCAAAGTGACTCAAAGAACCAAATAAAATACAAAACAACAAAATACAGAGAGCCATACCCGATGGTACAAGCCTGTAATCCCTGCCAATCGAGAGGCTGAGGCAGGAGAATTCCGAGTTCAAGGCATGTCTGTGCTACAAAGTGAATTCAAGGCCAGCCTGGGCAATTTAGTGAGTTTCAAAATAAAAGGGATGGGCGGTCTGGAAAGATGGCTCCACAATGATGCACACTGGATGCTTCTGCAGAGGACCGGAGTTCAGTTCCCAGCACCCGCATGGCAGCTCACAACGGCCTGTGACTCCAGTTCCAGAGGATCTGAGGCCCTCTTGTGGCCTCTTCAGGCATTACATACAGGGGGAATACTTACACCCAGGTAAAACATACCATATAATGAAAATAAAATAACAAGAGGAGGGATGGGACTATAACTCAGTGGTAGAGCATTCACCTAGCATTCATTGAATCCCTAGTACCACCTAGCCAACAGGCAGACAATAAAACCCTGAAACAAAGTTAAACATTTGTGACTAGGAATACACAGAAGACCATGTGAGAACCCAGTTGGCCATCCACAAGCCAAGGAGAGGGACCTCAAAAGAAATCAACTCCTTAATCTTGGACACTGGCCTCCATGATAGTAAGAAAATAAAATTTCTATTGTGCTAGCCCTGGTAGCACACAGCTATAATCCCAGTACTCAGTAGTAGGAGTTCAAGGACAGTCTAGTCTAGGCTACACAGAATTCAAGGTCAGTTTGAGCTATGCAGAGAGACCTTGCCTAAAAAAAAAAGCTAAAATAAAGTGGTGGCACAAGCCTTTAATTCCAGCCTTTAATCTGGGAGGCAAAGGCAGGTGGATCTCTTTGAGTTCAAGGCCAGCATGGTCTACAAAGTAAGTTGCAAGCCAGCTGGGGCTAGCTACAAGGAGACTCTGTCTCAAAAAGAAAAAAAAAACTAAAATAAATTTGCTTTCTTGGTTGTATTGGCACAATGAAAGTGTCCAACAGCCAGATACAGAACATTGTATCTGTGAATACGTGGACATGAATTCATGTGTGTATCCACCATGCTCCTTACCTTATAAAGCTCCTCATCAAACTGGCTGAGCTGTGCCACCTCCTGCATGACTTCTTTCCTCATGAAAAAGGGAGTGTAAATGGGAGTGTAGCCACGACTTCTCAAAGTACGGAGTGCATACTGGATAAGCGCCTGCTCCAGAAACACCAGGACCCCCTAAAGGAGCAGAGATAGCACTGTGGGAGTGAGGCTTCATCATCCCCATCATTAGCCTGAGGCAACACTCAGGGACAGATGGGCAAAAGACAGGACTATCCAGAGACACAACAGGTCAGTGGAGACCAAAACTGCAACAACAGCCAGGAGGTTACTTTTTGAATGTGGTATTTCATTTATTCTGTCCACGTTATAAATGTCTGTAAATGTTTAAAAAGATTTACAATATATATTGAACTCTGAGATCAACCATCATGTTTTTACATCTCAATATGGGGTAGTAAGAGGATAGTCAATATAATTATGTTCAAAATCATTCAGGTCAAAACTTATGTTTAGTCTTAGGATATTTACACACAACTCAGTTTAAGGGTGTTAAGTTCTTGGCTTTAAGAAAGAAGAATTTGTTTACTTCACTAATAGGACTATCTCTTGGTGCTGAGACGGCTCTTCTTGGTACGATGGTGGAAAATTGCCGCCATTGCTACAAAGTATGATTTATGGCTTTGTTTTTAATCTCTCAATCTGGTTTCAATATTGGGCAGTTGTTTACCTTTCTACCCCCTTATTGCTATTGCAATTGGTTACCTACTCTTATTTGAATTAACACGATGAATGCCTCTCGACTTCACTCATACAACCACAGTAACTATGCTAAGAATCAACAACTGAAAAACTAGTCAGATTTTCTTTTTCCTTTTTTTCTGGTCTTTTTTTGAGACAGGGTCTCCCTGTAGCCCCAGCTGTCCTGGAACTCACTATGTAAACCAGGCTGGCCTTGAACTCACAGAGATCCGCCTGCCTCTGCCTCCCAAGTGCTAGGATTAAAGGCATGTGCCACCACACCCAGCAATTTTTTTTTTTAATTCTTTAATTTTACTTTATTTTTGTGAGACAGGGTCTCACTATGTAACTCTAGCTGGCCTGAAACTCAAAGAGCCACCTGCCTCTCCCTCCCAAGTGCTAGAATTAAAGGCATGCACCAACATGCCAGGAGATTCTTAACAAAGGCCAACAGCATATCACTGGGCACTCTACTTACAGAATTGTCTTTAAGAAATCAAAGCAGCCACCACTGTGATCCATGCTAGTAATCCTAGCACTTGGGAAGCAGAGGTTGGAGAGGTACCATGAGTCTGAGGTGATCCTGGGCTCTGTGCCTCAAATCCTCCCCATGAAAACAGACCAAAGTAAAGGAATTGCTCAGTCAAGGTGCATGAAGTTTTCCTGTGCTAATTCTTTTTTTTTTTTAAATCAGTTAAAAAATTTAAAATTTCATGTGTATGAATGAATGCTTTGCCTGCATGTATATAAATGTACCATGTGCATGCAAACCCAGAACCCAGAATGGCATCAGATCCCCTAGAACTACAGTTATCGACAGTTGTTAGCTGCCATGTGGGTGCTGAGAAGCGAACTGGGTCCTCTGGAAGAGCAGTCAGGGCTCTTAACCACTAAGCTATCTCTCCGGCCCTCTCCTGTGTTAATTCTTAAAATACTGGACTCATTTGTAATTGTGAAATGCTTAAGTGTATAATATTCACAAAAAATTTTCCCACATCCTTTTGGAAGGATTCTTTGAATTCATATGCCTTCTGCCCCAGTTAATCTGCGCCTGTTGCCACCACCTACCAGTTCTCAAAGCTGCTGGGCCTACTCAGACTGCAGGCTTATCACACTGAGTTTTGATTCTTTGTTACTTGTTTGACTGTCCAATTACTTTGAGCTCCTCAAAGGCAGAGACTGTTCTGATTCAGTCAGCAAAACATATTCATTATGGAGGATCACTGAGTGGCTTTTGTTCTATGGAATCCAGATAAGCACTCCTCAGAAACAGAATTGCATCTAATAGCTCCATGTTTGCATGCAGCGAGTACAAGCGGTGGGTTTGTGAACTTCTTTATGTATGATTAGGATTTTCTGCAATTTTTTTTTCTTTTCAGTTCCTTCTTTACCCCTACGGGCTCCCAACTCTTACCTTCAGAAAGTACCCTCGGCTACCTGCCACCACAGCTCCCTTTTCTCCTTCAAATCCATCTACCATCACCACCAGGTCCACGTGCGAGTACTTCTTTCTCACTGTACAATCGCCCCAAATCCGTTCTACTTTGTTGTCTGCATCCTAAGGAAACAAGATCAGAAGAGATACATGATTTTGTAATTCTGCAACCTTCACTTTCTCAAGCCCTACTGAAGAACAACAGAGCTTTGCATCTACTGCTTAAACCAAGCACTAGCTTTTTGGTCTTGTGTAGAGTGAACGGGGAAGGGAATTTGCTATTCAGATAAATTATTTACAGAGTCCCAGAAGCAGCCCTCGTCATGAAATTAGAAATCTTGATTTTCTAAGAGAACCTATAGTATTCTCTGAGTCTGTTTCTCTTTTACCCTTTTAAATGACTCCTCAAAAATCATGCACAAGAACCCGCCTCCGACAATCAGCATCGCCTGGGGTACAGAGGAGAATGCAAGATTTATTTTCTACAGATGCTCATTGGTCTTGGAGCCACATGAAGGCGGGCTCAGGGCCCTGACCTCAGAGTCTGCTCTGGCTCCAAGGCCTCCCGCATACCCCAGACAGCAGTGAGTTCAGTGTTCACTAGGGAATGAATGAAAGAGGCACAGATGGGCCCAGCCACCACTGGGATGTCTGGGAACAAAGGCTGGGCTCAGAGCAGCTTTATGCTGGGGAAGCTCCCGCTCAGCAGGAAACTTTTATCATGCAGATTTCCCTTCAACCTGCAGCTTCACATCAGGGTGTGGGTGAGGGGGTTAGGTTGATTTAGCAGATCCCTCCCACAGAACTAGCTGCTACCCCGGGCAACACGACCGGGCAACACAACGCAGAGGACAGCAGCCCTATTTAGAAAAGATTTCTGTGCCAGGAGTCTCCTCCTACCTGCTGTCCCTGCCACTTCCCAATCAGGCAGGGATCTGACTCCTGCAATGCTCAATTGGTGGGCAGAAGGAAGACACAAAGCCTGCTTCTGACAGAGCACCAGTGTTGAGGGGTTCTCCTCCCACCCCAACCAGCAGACAGGGAGGGAAGCAGCCTCTGGCCACTGCAAGGCTCAGCCCCACCTACCTCATCGTTACTGATGGGCACAGAAGGGTGCAGAAGGTTCCCAATCTCTCGGAGGCTCTCAAACCGCTCTGCCTCCAGTTTTATCCTCTCACCATCACACTTTAGGATAGCTTCATCGATGAGGAGTCTGACTTTTTTGATTTGTGATACTTTCAGAGTCTGTAGAAGAAAAAGCCAGTCTGTAGAAGAAAAATCTAGACAGTGCAGCAAGAAATTGCCAGCATCCAAACTCTGTTGTCCTCTAGTGACAACTTTCCTGGTAGCATCTTATAGTTTAGTTTGGGGGTGGGCTAAGGTCCTAGCCTAGAATATGCTAGGCAAATACTATCCATGGTAGTATTTTAAAAATTGAGCAGGACATAGTGTCCTGTGCCTGTAAATCCAAGCCACCAGGAGGCTAAGGCAGGGGGACTATAAGATCCAGGGCAGTGTGGCCACATAGTGATACACTGCCTCAAAACCAAAGTGCATGCCTGCAATCTCAGCATGCCTGTAATGCCATCATTCAGTGGGTGGAGGCAGAACTACATAATGAGTTTGTAGCAGCCTGGGCTATATGAGGCCCTGTCTCAAAATAACAACAAATAAGAACTGAAAACGAATGCTTTGAAGAACTGAGATTTTTTTTTTTTTTTTTTTTTTTTTTTTTTTTTTTTTTGTCTTTTTTGAGATAGGGTCTCCCTGAAGCCCCAGCTGACCTGGAATTCGCTTTGTACACCGGGATGGCATTGAACTCACAGAGATTTACCTGTTTCTGCCTCCCTCTGGGATTAAAGGCCTGCACCACCATGTCTAGTTTCAAGAACTGAGATTTATCTCACAGGGTAGAGTCTTGTCATATATTTCTGTAAGCATTTTTCCTTGGGGATACATGGTAGCATTATAAAGATTTGACCTCTCCTGCCACTTAGATACATCCCAGGAGTTTTAAATCCTGTGGCCCCTAAGAGAATTCTCCCTTAATTTGCACTTCCAATTTTCCTGATTGAACCAATTTAGCACTCTATTATGTATACACATTTAAATGTTCTCCAGGAAGATTAAAATTTTATTAGAAGCAAGAGACCTTGTCTTGTTTTGTATTCCTTCCCACAGATGTTTTAAACTGTGCTGATTTCTCAGGGGGTCATTTAGCAGGCCAGGTTAGGCAGGAATAGCAGCCCACCCCAACTCTTGAAGCACAACAACTTTGCCTGCCTGGTTTATACTCTTGCTATGTGCTAAGGGCTTCAAAAAAGAGTTCAGGGGCTGGAGAGATTGCTCAACAGTTAAGAGCACTGGCTGCTATGGCAGAGGACCTGGGTTTGGTTCCCAGCAGCCACATGGTGGCTAACAATGTCCATAACTCCAGTTCTGAGGAAACTGAAGCCCTCTTTTGACCTCTACAGCACTATATGCACGGGTGTACTTACACACATGCACGCATGCAAAATTCTCATACAACCAATATAAAAACAAACAAAATCAGGTATGGTGGCACATGTCTTTAATCGTAGCACTCTGGAGGGAGAGGCAGGCAGATCTTGGTCGAGGCCAACCTGGTCTACATAGTGAGTTCCAGGCCAGCTGGGGCTACAGGGAAACCCTGTCTTAAAAAACAGAAACAAAAACAAAAGACAAATTAAAAGTAAAACAAACCACTCATACACATAAAATAAAAACAAAATCTTTATCTTACAGCCAATAGATCTGCAGTGAGGTCATCAAAATTCAACACATTCTCTGGAACAGATTCATCACCTCCCACTGGCTCTTTTTTCTGCAGGAAGAAAAGTCAAATTAGTCGATTAAATTTTTTTTCTAATATTGTTTTATAAAAGTACATACCAAATTTAGTATGTCATAAAAACTAGTCACAGACTATACTACATCAAGTTGCTACATATAGAGAAAAAAAAATTAGTAAACAGATTCATGCCCTATTCTACTATTTCCTGGCTTTTTGATCCTGGACAAGTCAATAAATCCATGAGAATGCTTTTCCTACATAAAAACAGTCAAAGAAATCAAGAATGAGTTTGAAATCTTTATGAACTATTAAGACACGAGAGTATACTCCTATAATCCCAGCACCTAGGAAGTAGGGCAGGAAGATTGCTGTAAGATCAACACTAGCCTAGTCAGGGCTACACAGCAAGACCAGTTCTTTAAAAAAAAGAAGCTGGGGGCGGGGGGGACAGTGTAGGGGCGTTAGAGAGATGGCTCGGTGGTTAAGAGCACTTGCTGCTCTTCCATAGGACCTGAGTTCAGCTCTCAGCAGCCATGTTCCACAACTCACAACTGCTGTGACTCCTGCTCCAGAACATCTGGTGCCCTTTTCTGGCCTCCGTGAACATTCACATCTCTCTCTCTCTCCCCCCCCCCCCCCCCCCCTCTCTCTGGAATAAAATCATTATGAAAAAAACAAAAAACCTTGGTAGTCAAGAATAGACCCTGAGGGCAAATCCATGTCCGCATGCTGGGAAGAATCCCAGCACCAAATGAATGGAATGGAGGCAAGGAAAAGGACTAGAGGAAAGAATCTGGAACTCACTTATCAACACAACATGATGAAATGGGAGCGGGAGTGGCATGGCTTTCCCCTTGATTTCTCTGCTCACTACTTTTTCCAGTTAGCCAGACCATCATTTCTAATCCTTCCACACAGCAAGTCAATTGTAAGAAGACAATTTGTGCTACACAAATTAAAGTCATTATCACTGTCATTACAATGGATGGCAAAAGTGAAGGTGGCCCTGCAGGGCTAGCGGTAAAGCCAGAGTAAAGCCAGACCTGTGTGTGTGTGTGTGTGTGTGTGTGTGTGTGTGTGTCTGTGTGTCTGTGTGTCTGTGTGTGTGTATATAAAATTCTGAGATAGGGACTCACACAAATTTGATTTATGGGCAAAGATGACCTTGAATCCCTGATCCTCTAGGCTCTACCTCCCAAATGCCAGGTATTACTGGCACATGCGGCCATATCCAGCACCTCTCTCCTCTCTCTCTCTCTCTCTCCACTCTCTCCCTCCCCTCCTCTTTTCTTTTGGCGTGTATGTGTGGTATAGGGAATTGAACCTAGGGCCTTCCATATGCCAGGCAAGTACCCTATCACTGAACTGTATTTCTAAACATTTTTTAAAAATTCTATGTGTATGAGTATATTGCTTGCACATATGTAAGTGCACCCCTGTCATGTAATACCTGAGGAGGTCAGAAGTGGGTGCTGAATCCCCTGGAACTGGAGTTACAGTTGTTAGCTGTCATGTGGGTATGGGGAATCAAACCCAGGTCCTCTGCAAGAGCAGCTGGTGCTCTTAACTGAGCCATCTCTCCAGTCCCAATGAGCTATATTTCTAACCTAAGAATGCTACTACAAAAACCTCTATGGTTGCACTGTGGAAGGTGAAGCTACCCTGAACTACATAGCGAGACTTGGTCTCAAACACAGACACATAAAACAAAAAGTCAAACACTCAGCTGGCACTGTCTGAACAGAGGCCTCAAAGAATACTTAGGTAGGGGTATACATGGGTCTAAAAGTATTAACTGTGGGATCTTTGGCCTGCAGATGCTTAACCTTCTCGAGTCCCACAGGAATGAGATGGTAAGTTGCTGGTAACAGTTTCCACAGCTGAAAGCATAATAAAATGCTGTCAAAGGATGCAGACTATCATGCAGTATAAGATGTTGGAATTCCAGGAGGCCTTGTGCTACACTCTTCACTGGTTCTGCTTCTAAAATGAGTTTTTATTTTCAGTATAGTGTTTCAAGGTTTACAACTCAAATGCATATGGTGCACTTATATACATGCAGACAAAACAATCATAGATAGATAAAAATAAGTTTTAAAGAAAAAAATTTTAAATTAGCCAAGGGGGATACAGCTCAATGGCAGAGTTGCTAATACATGTAAGGCCTTGCACTCAATCCCTAATACCAGGGGAATTAATGTTATTAATGGGCTTAAAGGATGTTTTGAAGAAAAGGTAAAAACAGAAGCTGTTCTATTCCACAGCAAAAACTGAGCTGAAACTTAACATTCTTCATATATAAGTCATTTTTGAGCTGGGCATGGCGGTATATACCTGCAATCCCAGCACTCAAGAAGCACAGGCAGGAGGATCAGGAGTTCAACGATAGTCTCTGATACAAAGGGAGTGTGAAGCTAGCCTGGGCTAATGAGAGGATGGAGAAAGTAAGACAGAAAGTGAAAATGGCTGAGGATATATAGCTCAGTTGGTAACCAGAGTGCTTGCCCAGCATGCACAAGGCACTGGGTTCAATCCCTAGCAACACACGTAACAGATTGTGATGACAAACATCTATAATCCCAGCTATAATGCAAACTTGGAGTCACTGTAGGACATGAGACCCTATCCTCAAAAATAAAAGTTAAGCTCAGTGTGGTGGCGCATGCCTTTTATCCCAGCACTTGGGAGGCAGAGGCAGGCGGATCTCTGTGAGTTCGAGGCCAGCCTGGTCTACAAAGTAAGTTCCAGGTCAGCAGGGGCTACAGGAGACTTGTCTCAAAAAGACCTAAATAAATAAATAAATAAATAAATAAATAAATAAATAAATGAACAAACGTTAAAAAAGAAAAGGATTTTTTTTGGCTGCAGACTACTAATTGCTTGACATCTATCATAACACAATTGCTGAACTATTACAATGTTCTAGAAATTGTGCTGAGCTTTCTTTTCTTTTGGGAGGTAGGAGGTGAGAGGAGGACAGAAGACTCTCTTATGCAGCCCAGGCTGGTCTTGGACTTACTGTCGTCTCCTGCCTCATTCTATCCACTGCTGGTTATAGGTTGTATGCTCAGTTTATGCCAAATTTTCTTTTTTGAAAGATTTATTTACAGGTGCTTGGGAAATGCCCTATGTGGGTGCTAAGATTTGAACTCAGGTCTTCTGGAAGAGAAGTACAGGTTGAGAGCAGCACATGGAGCCATCTCTCTAGCCTTCGTGCCAAGTTTTCTACACTTAAACTAAGCAAAATAAAACAAAAAACATGAACAAACAAAACAAAAAGCCCAAGTTTCAGACATTAACTTGCCTAAAAGGTACACAGCTAAGAACAGGCCAAGGCAAGACAGGAATAGCAAAATTATCCTTTTCCCCAGAAACAGGACTGCACTAAGACAAAAACTCTGAAAACTGTCAGACGAAAACCTTCCTGCTACCACAGGTTGGGCTCAGAAAAGTAATGGAAAGGAAGGCTTGTAAGAACAGAATAGACTACTGCCTAGTGTGTCAAGAATCTTTCCTGGCTGGGCATGGTGGTACACACCTTTAATCCCAGCACTTGGGAGGCAGAAGCAGGCAGATCTCTGTGAGTTCAAGGCCAGCCTGGTCTACATAGTGAGTTCCAGGACAGCTGGGGCTACAGGGAGACCCTGTCTCAAAAAGACCAAAAAAAAAAAAAAGAATCTTTTCTGGGCTAGATGTGGTGGTGCAGGCCTTTAATCGCAGCACTTGGGAAAAAGAGGCAGACACACCCCTGTGAATTCAAGGCCAGCCAAGGATACATAGGAGATGTTATCTCAAAAAAAAAAAAAAAAAAAAAAAAAAGGGCCGGGGGCTGGAGAGATGGCTCAGTAGTTAAGAGCACTGATCAGTCTTGTAGAGGTTCAGTTCCCAGCACCCACTTGGAGACTCACAACTGTCCATAACTCCTGGCCTCTGCAGGCATTGCATGACACAGATGCACTTTACTTACATGCAGATAAAACACCCAAACATAAAATAAAAATAACCCCCTACATTCCTGAAAACAAAAGACAACCTACCATAGGGTCACTGGAAGTGGCTCTTTGTTCCCTGCTTCCTTCTTTTTAAAATAAGTCAGTTGCCGTAGTCACCCCCCCCCACACACACACCGTGACACTCAGTATCTCAGAGAAATTATATGATGAGTTAGAACTTCAGTAGCTTTGGTAAGAACAAGATCAAATAGCTCTGCTCCAGCTCAAGTCTGCCAATTCTCTTACCTTCATTTTCTCACCGATTGTCTTGCTGCATAAGTTCTTCAGTTTGTTCAAGTTGTCTGCCCGAAATCTGCCTAAAAATGAAAAAGTCAACAATATGCCAAAGATGCACATCAAGAACCTTCCTGACCTTGGCTCCCGGATACCTGCTATGGTTTGGCAAGTATCCCAAAGACTCCTTCTACTAAAGGCTTGGTTCTCAGCTTGGCAGAATTGGAAAGTGGTAAAACCTCTAAGAGGTGGGACCTAATGGGAGGCCACAGGTGAGTTGGGACATGCCATGGGGACAGAGATGGAAATGCAGCTCTTTCTTTCTCTCTGCTTCTTAGCTGCCAAGAAAGAGGTGAGCAGCCTCCTTCATCACATACTCCTAAAATGATTTACCACCTTATCAAAGGCCCCAAACCAATAGGTCCAGCAAACTGGAACCTACAAAACTGTGAGCCAAAGCAATTATTTTTTCTTTAAAGACAGGGTGTTGCTACATGGTCTTGGCTAGCTGGCCTAGAACCTGTTGACAATCCTCGTGCTTCTGCTTCCCAAGTGCCAGAATTACAGGTGTGTGCCACCATACCTGACTCACCCAGTGCTGATCTCTGCTGTAGACCTCTAAAGTTAGTTGGCAGAGATTGGTGGCTACAGCCGGTTATCCCCAGTATCCTAGTGACAAGGAAACAGCCAGTCTGAGGTTGAAATTGCAAAGTATCATAATCTGGGACTGGAGAGATGTTTCAGAGGTTAAAGAACCCAAGCTCAGTTCCCAGCATGCATGTCAGGTGGCTCACAACTGCCTGTAACTCCAGCTCCAGAGGGATCCAATGCTCTGGCCTTCAAGGGTACCTGTGCACATAGCCTCCATGCCACCCCCCACATACCCAGATATACATAAATAAAAATAGAAACAAACCTTTAAAAAGAATCATAATCTATTCATTACCACAGAGCAACACAATCAAGGCACTTAAGAGACTCGCCTAACCAAAGCCTACCCAGTCATCTTAAAATTCATTGGAAGAAGCTATGTGATGCTTTTTCAACAGCTGTTTATACATGCACATATCATTGGTTCTGTATATCCAGTGGCCTTGCTGAAGTTACTTAATAGGTCCAATTCTGTATCTCACATCAAGTCATATGCAAATCATGAATTTACTTCTTTCCCAATCTTTTTTTCTTGCCCCACAGTATCTGGTTTGAAACATTCACCAGGACATTAACTAGAAGTGATGATAACAGGTGTGGTAATGGAAAGTGACTAACATAATACTGATCTCTGTTTATAGTCAAAATGGACACAGGGCTGGGAGTGGTGGTGCACGCCTGTAATTATAGCACTTGGGAGGCTGAGGCTGGAGAATCTTGAATTCAAGGCCAGCCTTTATACTCGCTCATGGAATATCAACCATTGCAATCACTTTGGAAAACTGCCGATATCTATTAAATATGTACTGCTGTTGACCCAGAAATTCCACTCTTGGGTACACACGCAACAGAAATGAATGCTAAAGGCATAAACAAGAATGGACACAGAGAAGCTGGGGAGATGGCTCAGTTGGTAAAGTGCTTGCTCTGAAAGCATAAGGACCTGAGTTCAGACCCCTAGCACTCATGTAAAAAGAGCTGGGTACAGAAGTGTGTGGCTATAACCCCAGGGCTTGGGAGGCAGAGAGAGAAGATGTGTTGGTCTTGCTGGCCAGCCTGTATAGCCAATTAGTGACCTCTAGTTTCACTGAGAGACCTTGTCTCAAAAATAAATAAATAAATAAATAAATAAATAAGTGCTGAGCAATTTAACCTCTGGCCTCCACATGTATCTTGCACATATGTGTACCTGAACACACACACACACACTCTTATAACAAGAAACAATAGTATTTGAGGTGGATCTGTTAACTGGCTTGGTTTAACCCACTGTACATCAAGCGAGATGTGTTGGCATACGCCTATATCCTAGGAGTTCAAGGTCATCCTCAACTACACAATAAGCTCATAGCTAGCCTGGATCACATGAAACTTTATAAAAACAAGTCAATTTACAATAAACCTTTTTTAAAAAATGTCCAACTGGGCATTGTGGTGCATGCCTATAATTCCACTCAGCATTAAGGTAAAAACCAGGGGCATGGTGGTATACACCTTTAACCCCAGCACTTGGGAGGCAGAGACCAGCGGTTCTCTATGAGATCGAGGCCAGCCTGGTCTACATAGTGAGTTCCAGGCCAGTAAGGGGTACAGGGAGACTCTGTCTCAGAAAACCAACCAAACAAAAAAGTTCTAGCCCAGCATGGGATATATAATGAGATCCTGCCTCAAAACCCAAAAGAAAAATGTACGCAGAAGTTCATAGCATCTCCAAACTGCTAACAACCCATTTTGGCCAAATGGTACTGCTTATTTATTTAGTTACATATTGTGTGTGTGTGTGTGTGTGTGTGTGTGTGTGTGTGTGTGTGTGTGTGTGTGCATGGGCACACATGTGCCACAGCATTCGTGTGGAGGTCAGAGGACAACTTGAGGGAGCTGGTTCTCTCCTTCTACCATGGGGATCATCAGGCTTGGCAGCAGGCACCTTTACCCACTGAGCCATCTTGCTGGCCCCAAATGGCATTATTTAGATATACCAATCAATTCTACTGGCGTATGTATACAGTGGAAAACAGCACAGTAATGAAAACCAACCACTACTACATGAGACATGTTTGAAGCCAGCAATGACAGAACATGTCCACAATCCCAGTACACAAAAGGTGGAAACAGAGTCAAGGTCATTCTCAGTTACACAGTGACCTCAATGCCAGCCTGGGCTACTTAAGAACTTGTCTCAAAAAACAAAACCCACCTTCCCCTCAAAACAAGGGAACATATTTAAGAGGAAAACCATATACGAAAGTATATACTACTGACCTGGAAGTCACCTCTCCTGAAGGCTAGCTCTCATAGCTTTGGAAAGCACTATGCAAGCTGGTATGGGAGACCAATCAATGGTCCAACCCCAGCTTCAAGGCCTAAAAAACCACATCAATGGCCAGCACAGCAAATGACATTGGTGCAGTAGTGGCACTTTTATCTTGGGGGTAATCAACAACTACCTAATTAGACTTAAAGCCCACTCAATGGGAGGAAACGCATGACTGGTACTGTAAACCTAGCCAAATAGCCAGAGGGGACATAGATCTTAGAGAAAACTCTGACTGTCACATCCCTAGACAAATATAATTTCTGTGTGCAAAATATAGATCCTTAAATTTACAGACAAGTATCCCAGTCACCACCCATCAAAGCAGCTTCTTCTTCAACACACAGAGATTATTACAGAGTTATACCCACTGGTCACACACAGAGATTCTCTGTGAATTGCCAAAGCCTAAGTGACACATCTAGGATGCAACTCTACACCTAAGACTCACAGAACATAGAACAAGGGATGAAGAGAACACTAATGAATCTTTCAGTTCTCATCAATGAAGCTCCTTCATGCAACAGAGGGACAGGAACATAAAAGACCACAAATGGCCAAAATGCAGAAAATAGGAGTTGGCAGAGTGTGGGTTCTTGGACAGGCCTCCCATATTGAGGTCCACCCACCCAGGACTCAGGGACCATTCCAGAAGAGGGGGTGGAAAGATTGTAAGAGCCAGGGAGGAGGTGCACGACCATACAGAAATGGTCTTACAGGCACCTGGAACCCTTCTCATACAAACCTACAGCAATGGTGTCAGCATGCAGAAGACCCATGCAAACTTAGGCAGCTTAAAGCCCAGCACAGAATCCCGGGTGTGGTGGCTATGCCTTTCTTTAATCCCAACACTCAGGAGGCAGAGGCAGGAAGCTCTCTGTGAGTTTGAGGCCAGCCTGGTCTACATAGTGAGTTCCAGGACAGCTGGAGCTACAGGGAGACTCTGTATCAAAAAGAAAAAAAAGACAGAAAAAAACCAGCACAGAACCCAAACTTAGTTGAAGAATTATTGGCAGCTGATTACTGCTGGGTGAGGAAGACCTGATCTTCTTGAAGAGAGAGACTCTAGATAGGCTGACGAAACCTCCGTGGATGAACTTGTACTGAGAGACATCTTGGGACACTAACTTTACATAATAGGCCTTAATACAAATGACAGAATGTATGAACTCCAGTCGGGGGTTATGGGAGGGTCTCAAAGGGGAAGGGGGTAAAAGATGATTTTATATATGAAATACACAAAAATTCAATAAATTTTTTTTAAGTTTAAAAAAAGTATATACTACATAAATCCTTTTATCTGAAGTTTAAAACCCAAAGTGAGGCAAAATTTTCTATGCTGACAGATCAGAATACTGCTGTTTTGAGGTGGGTTTGATTGGGAGGGGCATGCATATAGGAGCCTGATGGGAAGTTACAAACCTCTTAGGTTTTACTAGGAGATGGTTACATGTTACAGTGTAAACTAAGCCAGCTGTACTTTATTGAATATGTTACATCTCAATAAAAAGACATTTAGAGACATTGAAGAGAGGTTAAGAGCACTTAGTGATCTTCCAGAGGACCTGGGTTCAGTTCCCAGCACCCACATGGTGACTGACAACCACCTGTAACTCCAGTTCCAGGGGATCTGACAGCCTCTTCTGACCTCCATTATGTGCATGACACATAATGTACATGCAAACATGCAGGCAAAACACTCATGCATAAAAGAAAAATAATTAAAAAGAAAGTTTAGAGGCAAGCAGATTGGCAGAGACCTGTAACCCTAGCACTTGGGAAGTGGAAGCAAGGGGATCAGAGCTCAAGGTCATTCTTGATTACAGAGCAAGTTTGAAACCAGCCTGGGCCACATGATACCCTGTCTCCAAAAAAAAGAAAAGAAAAATAGAAACAGTTTAGAAAGTATATGCATGTGGGGCTAGAGAGATGGCTCAGTGGTTAAGAGCACCAATTGCTGTTGCAGAGGACCTGGCTCCATTCCCAGCACCCACATGGTGGCTATGAACCATCCTTAATTCCAGTTCCACAGGAATCCAAAGCCCTCTTCTGACCTCCGAGGCATTGCACAACACAGGTGCACTCACATACATGCAGGCAATACACTCATACACATAA